TATATATATATATATATATATATATATATATATATATATATATATATGAGACTTATAGACTGAAGTGAAGAAATTACTGAGTTTCTGAATTATGAAGTTTTTCTTACTGAAGTTCTGTATTTGAGCAAAAGGTTTATTTGAATCAGTTTGAATCCCTTGTACAGTTCTTGTAGTTTTGAAGTTTTTGTATTGAAAAAAGCTCATATTAGAAAAGCAACATGGTCGAGAATTATAAACGTATCTAATCCAAAGTGCTTCCTATTTGCCTGTAGTGTATTCCCTTTTAGGCCTATGTGAAAATGGTTTATGGTTTTTTGTTGTGTAACAAACTGGAACTGGGGAGAACTGTCAGAAATGACAGAGAAATTACCCGTTTATTTTCCTTACACCAAATATATCTTAGAACAATCGTTTCTGCTGGAATTTTAATTTTACCCACTGCTTTGAGACATATTCTTTGTGTTTTATAATAAAAAATAACTATTCTACCCAAATAAAAACAATAAAACAAAGCATGCTTTCTTTGTTGTAATAAAACAGTTTTTGATTCAGACTTGTTCTTTGCACAGTGTTCTGAGATGACTTTTGTTGTGAAGTGTATAGTCCTACTATAAATACATTGAATTCGATGTGTTCTAAGAACTGGTCCAAAACGGATCCTGGCCAGAAGATGTGTTCTATGAACGGATCCGGACCGGATGTGGTACTTAATGAGTAGATCCGAATAGGGTCCAGGCCAGATTTGATCCAGATCCATGATCCTTATCTGTTCTGGATCCATTCCAGTGTGCAAGTGGACTCCAATCTGGGTCCGTTTCCAGAGCCTATGCTAGATCCGGAACGGATCTGGTCCGAAGTCAGTTTGCTATCTGGGATCATAGACATACTAGACGCCTCGATGAGCAGGCTGCAGCGGTGCGTCAGAGTATCCGGCATTTTAAATGTGGCGGAAGTGCCCGTCATTTAATGCAAAGAAATGGATAGAAGTTGACAAAGCACCGTTCTACAAATAGTTTTAAGTTAATCCCTGTCATTCACACACACTAATATATATGGAAAACAAACAGGCACCACAACATTTGTAGCTTTTAATGTTAAAATTTACAAATGTTGTCACATGTCTGTGTCTGGGATGCCTCTAGATGACTTCATCAAGATGCTGCAAACACTCCATTTTCGGGATAGTTTTATGTGATCGGGGTTATTGGTTGTTTTGAATTTCATCCACCTTCAGTTTGATAATGTTGCACATACAAAACAAAAAGGGCTAAAAATAATTTAATTTAATTTTAGCCTTCATATTCTCATGTTTTCTGCATTTACTCATCTCATCATGGCCAGTTGTAACAATTCTGCAATATAAATTAATTTTAAAATGTTTATTTTTCCATGTTTATGATGCCTCTTTTGTGGTCAAACATGTTTTGTTGCCTTACCTCTAGAAATGACTCAATCCAGGTAACAGAAGAAAACATTTCACAACAACTTAATGTGATTTAGAACAACAAATGGTTTAAATTGTTGCTAAATCTTTTGCACGTGACCCGTGTGTTTTTGCACACGTCGGTTTAAACATTCGTGTGCAGTGATGGGGACAAGTCCTGAATCTTAAATGAGGAGAAAAATTGACATGATGTCATAAAGGGCAACAATTCAATTTATGGTCCAACACATTTTATTGAGTTCAAGTTTTTAATGTGCATGATAAAACATTTAAATTCAGTTTAAAAGAAATGATCATTTAAACTTTAATTTGAACATCCAACACCATTTTAGGGCTTCTAAATAAAGATTACATTTTATTCTGAAAGGCCACCTTGTTGATGTTTTGTGTAGACAAACTAGTCACATCCTTTTAACATAAAGATGATGATGTCATTACCCCTCTCTAACATGGTGTCCTCTTCTTGCTTTAAACTTTCAAGTTTGTGTCATTCCCCTATTTGTTTCGGAAGCACGATCCGTAGTTTACCTCCGGGTCGCACGGATCGCCGTTGTTTATGAATAAAAACTGTCTTAATTTACTAAAAAAGTTAGGATGGTTAAAAAGGTTAAGATGATATGTGACGCATTAGACCTGACCCACAGCCTGGACTGAATGAGAAAAACCCTGCAAGATACAGAATGAATTATGTCCATGGTGAAACAGCGCCGCTCAGTGGTGAAGCTGCGTATCATTTTAACCATGACGTAAATATGTCAATGATTTTAACAGAAATATGAGTGGCGTGAATTAGCAACATGAAAATCAGAGGAAATAGAGCACATACTTTTCTAAGTAAATTAAGACAGTTCTTATTCATAAACGGAATGGTACTAGTACATTTCCCTTAATCTGGCATATTCAACGGCGATCCGGAAGTATTTCTTTTAGTGCATGCGCAAATGAGCAACACTATAAATCAGGTTCCATAACAGATTGGGGAATGACACCTGTGTGTAAGCTTTCTGCTCCATGCCTTGTTTCTTGTTTGTGGCAAAGATTCATGACAGCTCCATCTGCAGGCTTGGAATGCTTACTGCAACGTTTTGGACCATTTTCTGTTTCCATGTGGATAAAAAGTTAAAACTGCATATGAGGTCCATAATATATAGAAAAAAACATTTTATATGAGCTGAAATAAGTCCAAAACACAGATTATTCTTTATAAACTTTATTTTAATCATTTCATTTCAATTTAGCAGCTACAAATTCGATCTATATTTACAAAAAAAAAAGTTTTTCAGTGAGTCAGCACCCGAGCCACGAGTTTCCTGCGATGATTTTTACCACACGTTTCTGTTTGAAGTCAAACTGGAAGGATTTGGTCCCACTGAGAAGGAAGATGCTGCCTGTAGAAAAACAAAACAAAACTGTTCCTGGAAACTATATGATTAAAAGAACTTCTAGCATTAGGGAATTTTTGATCAAAGGTTATGGATCTTTTTACTATAGCTGAGAATCTTATCTCTGCCCATGAACCATATGTTTGGTTTAGCAGAGAGAGCTGGATGAGGAGCTGAGTGAGGCTGCAGCTGGCAGCCAAGGACGCCTTCAAGTTCTGTGAACTCAGCTGAACTGATAAAGGTATAAAAGTAATCTAAGAAGGCGACTCGAGACAGATTCTCCTGGCTGGTGTTCATGTCTGTACTTTATGTATATTTGTGTAACCTGTCCTGAAAATCTGAGCTTGCAAGTAAATACCAGCTCAAAATCTTCACCTGCCGTCAAGTGTGATTCTTTTAGAGTAAGTTAAGTGAGAATATTTTTCTCCAACATATAGCTAATTTTTACCTGTAATTCTTAAAAGGATGTCTGACTATTTGGAATAATAACCTTATTTGATAAACAATCATTTCCACTATGAAAAGGAGTTTGTAAGAATACTGTAGGTTGTTTGGTTTTAATTAGGTTTATTTTTCTTCTTCTTCTTCTTCTTTCGGCTGCTCCCTTCTTCAGGGGTCACTAAGTTGCACAAAGACTTGACAATTATTTTTACTCCGGACGCCCTTCCTGATGCAACCACAGACCACCGAGCACCACAGCCCTCTGTGTGGAGCAGAGAGCTGCTATCTAGGGCACCCAGGAGAGCATATGGTGGGGGTTAAGGGCCTTGCTCAAAGGGCCCAGAGTGGGGCAATTGAGGGTGGAGGCAGGTGTGGGTGCTTCACCTTTACCACCCACATTTTGATGTTGTCGGCACCGCGAGTTGAACCGGCAATCTTCCTTTATGTGGAAGACCTTTATATGGAAGGCCCACACTCTTTAACCTCTGCACCACCACTCCCTCTAGGTTGTTTGGTTTTAATAATTTTCTAAAATTTAATGACACATGCACGTTGCTATTTCATTTATTCTGAAAGGCATTCTGGGTAAATGATGTTGCCAGGTCGCTCTGGTGCGAGCTCCATTCTGCCTGAATGTTAATTTTGGACATTATCTGACCATCAGCTCTTTAATTTGAGCCAGAGCGAGTTGACGGTAACTAACAATAACTCTAACAACAAACAGCGTTAACTCCAGAGTTAATAGCATTAGCTACAGGGATAACATATATAGCGTTAGCTCTGGAGCTAATAGCATTATATAAATCCATTAATTTAGCCTTGACTCCTTGTGCTTTAGTCTCCACTACAAGCAATGTACATCATCTCCCCAGAATGCATTGCACCGGTAAAATAATGGCAACATTCTTAGGTGTAAAATGTATTAAACATGCATAACTTTATGAATAATTTGGAGTTTTCACGTGTCACAAACAATAACTTTTAGTGGAAGGAAATTAAAGAAAGAACAAGAACAAGAATAACAATAGGAAGAATAACAAGAACAAGAAAAAGAAGAAATGTAAATAAATAAATAAATAATAAGAAGAAGAACAACAACAAAATAATAATAAGAAGAACAACAAAAAAAAGAAGAATAAATAAATAAATAATAATAATAATAATGAGAAGAAGAATGGAAATAGTAACATTTTATGGCCAACTGGTGCAAGTAGTCCAAAATCCCTTCAAGAGTTTGGATCATAAAATCCTGTGTGTGTGTGTGTGTCCATGTGAAAAGTCTAAAGATACACTCTCAGATAACTAAATTTAGTTTTCCTTCTATTTCTACCTCCACATGTTTTCTAAAAGTGTTTTAACTATGAAAGTATTTCTGGTGTGGTACACTCCACCCATCGGCCCCTAAACATAGTTAAAACAAGAAATTACAACTTCTCCTTCAGCTCTAATTGTTTTCTTCTGCCTGGGTTCACGTTATAAGTTTGTAAACTGTGTTTTTCTCCATTTCTTACGGTGTAATGTAAACGCAGCATCGACTCTTCTCGGGACTCCGGGCCAGTCGATCTGGATTAATCTGGGGAAGCCAGGGTCCATCTGTCTGCTCTGCTCATCAAAACTGGCATGGAAATGTGAGAAAGAACTAATTTAGTCACAGTGGAGAGGGCATATTGTACACAACTTTAAAGAAATAAAATACTTTACTTTTGTTTTTAGTTTGTAAACCTTTAGTTGGACATGTGGCCTGTTTGTTCAAGCTAAAACAAAAACTTTAATTTGACTTTTTAATTGTTTGTTTTATGATGAAGTTATAAAAAAAATAAAAAAAACCAAATGGACTTCTGTTCTGAAGCTGATGATGTTTCACTTCCTGTCCCGGAGGCTTTATCAATTCACAAATGAATTCTTTTGATTGATAAAACCTCTCGGATTTAAACGAAACATCTTAGAATAGTAATCCAGTAGTTTTTGAGTTTTTTTAACCCTGGATTCTTGGAAATCCTGAACATGTGCTTAAAGTAAAAGTTGTTTAGTTGTGTACCTGTAGTAAAACTGCCCCGTGAAGAAGATGGTTTTTCCCGTTTCAGCCACATGAACTGCAGCATCAACCTGCCTGACTCGGGAGGGGAACCCATACTCGTAGATGCTTCCAGCTCGACTTTTGGTCTTCAGCTGTTGAACCACCCAGTACTTCTGACCTGAGAGCAAACACACATGAATTTCTACAAAACCAACAACATACCACAAACATCCAACTCGGTGAGCCTCCTGCACGAGGAGGGCTGTAATTTGTTCAACACAGTGTTCTGCTGCTGGAAACTCAGCCTTTTCATGCCGACGTGGCCCGATACTCTACCGGTGAAGATGAACGCCACGCCTCTGGCCGGGATGTCATAAGCAGCATCAACAGGTAAATTAACGTCAGGTAAGTATGAGCTCATGGCCCCTTCTCTCAGCTGGTTCCAGTAAGTCGACTTTGTTGTTCTCATCCACATGTTTCTACACAAAAACATTTAATCTCAGGTCAAACACAGTTGCGGTGCTTTTTATTTACTAGTCACTGCATTTCATTCCATACCTGTTATTAAAAAATATAATCTCGTGTTTTATTATCGCTGCCGCGTCGAAGGAAAACGTTGGGTCACATTTTTTGGGAGTGCTTGGCTTGAATTCAACCTTTTTGTTGGGTTTACCTGAGAAATGGAAGTATAAAGGATGTAAGAAATGTAAAACTTCAACTTCTCATGTGAACCATGTAAAATGTGTCTCTTACCGTAGAGCATCTGGATCCCTTGGACGTCATCTGCGGACAGGGAGTACTGTGTTCTGCTGCGTTGCCGGTAACTGGGGTACATGACAGCAGAGGGGTCCGTGGAATGAGTCAAGCCCAGAGAGTGACCGAGTTCATGCGCTGCCACCGCAAACAGGCTGTAACCTGAAAGAGAACGACAGCAAACATCTGGAGTAATGTTGGAAAACTGCAGAGAAACATGCTAACCGGACCAATAGGAGCAGCTCCACTAATTGGACTAACTGAACTAATTGGATTAAATGGAATGCTTTCTTTTGTTGTTGTTTCTTTTGGCTGCTCCCTCCGTCAGGGGTCACCACACCAAACTAACTTGCGCAAAGACTTAGCAATTTTATGGCAGATGCCCTTCCTGAGGCGACCGCACTGTGTGGAGAAGAGAGCTGCCATCAAGGGTGCCCGGGGGAGCAGATGTGGGGGTTAAAGGTCTTGCTCAAGGGCTAAAAGAGGGGCAAACAAAGGTGAAGGCAGTCATAATAACTGGAATAATTGGACTAATTGGAATAACTGGACTGTGACCTGGTGTACAGTATTACCCAACTTGACAAATATGGTCATGTGGAAGTGAATCGAAAGTATCAAAGTTCATGCTCAATAATCCAGATACAAAATGCAACAAAGTTCAGTCAAGGCATCTGGACAGTTTCTTTTTTTGTTGTTGAAACGTTTCATCCTTCATCCAAAGGACTTCATCAGTCCAAGGAGCCGCAACAAACTCAGTCCCATAAGTGGCTTACTACGTAGTGGGCCAATCAGTTTGATGGTGATAAGATGACGGAACTTTGTTGGATGTTTTACCTGGATTATTGAGCATGAACTTTGATTTTTGGAACCACTATGGCTATGGCTGCCTCAAAGGAGTCGATGGGGAAGAGGGTGGACTCCAGAAGCCATCTTATCACCATCAAACTGGTTGGTCCACTATATGCTAGTGTGCTACTTATGGGACTGAGTTTGCTGTGGTTCTTTGGACTGATGAAGTTCTTTGGATGAATGACGAAACACTAAAAAAAAAAAAAAGAAACCATCCAGATGACCTGACTTAACTTTGTTAAATAGAAAGCAGTTTTGAAATTTTTTATTTTTATATTGTGTGACAGGTTTATCCAAAATAAATGAATCAGCAGCAGAAGTTCAGGGTTGTGAGATATAT